GCACACAATGCAGCAGCGTGGCCCCGCCAGTGCCCCCCCGCACTCCCCCTTCCTCCTTCCTCCCACCCTGGTCCCTTTCCTCTGCTGATCTTCCTTTGATTTTCACGAGACCCCTCTTTCTTTTCCTTTTTCCTCTCGAGCCTCTGCATATGGGAAAAAACACATGACCCGTGACCTTCTGAGTTTGGTTTGATTCACTTAACACAATGCTCTCCAGTTCCATCCATTTTCCTGCAAATAGCATGATTTCCTCCTTCTCTGTGGCTGACTAAAACTCCACTGTGCATGTCCACCACATTTTCTTTATCCCCCCGTCCACCGAGGGACACCTGGGCTGGCTCCGTCGTCTGGCGGCTGGGAATGGTGTGTGTGTGTCACTGTAGTGAGATGACTCTGACTCCCCAGGGTCAATACCGAGGAGTGGGACAGCTGGGTCACACGGAGGGTCCCTGCCTGGTCTTTTAGGAGCTTCCCTACTGATTTCCACGGGGGTCGGGCTGATTCACAGTCCACCCACAGTGTAAAGGGTTCCTCTCCCGCATCCTCCAGCACTGATTGGCATTTACAGTCTTTTTTAAAAAATTAAAGTGTGTAGACAGACACAATACCTTTATTTGGTTTATTTATTCCTATGTGGTGCGGCGGATCCAACCCAGTGCCTCACCTGGGCCAGGCAGGTGCTCTGCCCTGAGCCCCAGCCCCAGCCCTGCCGCACTGGCCGTGTGGGACGACAGCTCAGTGTGGATTTGATTTGCATTTCCCTAATTGCTAAAGGTGTTGGACATTGTTTCATGTATTTTTGGACCATTTGTATTTCTTCTGTTGAGAAGTTCTGTTGGACTCATTTGCCCCTTTGTTAGCTGGGTCATTTGTTTGGAGTTGTTCTCACGTCGTAGGTTTCAGTCCTCTATCCGAGACTCGCTCCTCTGGGTTCTCTGTTCGCATTCCTGATTGTGTTCTTTGTGGTGCAGATGTGTTTTTAATTTGATGCCACCCATTTATTAACCCTGGGCTTATTTCCTGAGCTTCGGGGGTCCTGTTGAGGACGTCATTGCCTGTGCCTACAGGGTGGAATGTCCCCTGCATTTTCTTGTAGGAGTGGCCTGGTTTCTGGTCTGACTCTGAGGCCTTTGAGACATTTTCAGTTGACTTTTGTGTGCCTGGTGAGAGATAAGGGTCTAGTCTTTCTTTCTTTCCTTCCTTCCTTCCTTCCTTTCTGTATGATGGATTGAACCCAAGGGT